TTGAGTTTATACTCGGATATTGATCCGATAGAATGAGACCTATTTTATTTTCTGATGATACTGTATTGACAAGTTTTATAAAATCGCTTGAATATCTTGTGAAGTGGTCTACCAGAAGATGCAAATATGTTTTAGTTGAACGTGAGCCACCAAGTCCCCCAATGGTATCAATTGACATGATTTCAAATTTCAATTTGTCCATGGTTCAATAGCTGTAGAATTGTTGTTTTATAATAGAGTTCGACATATAACAACTAAATTGTGTTGCTCTGAAAAAGAGAAACGATTTTATTAATAAAAAATAATAAATTAATTAAATCAATTTAGCCTTAATTAAGTAAATGTCGTACCTGAAAAAGAGAAACAACAATTAAAGCTATTATATAATAACCAATGTTAACTAAGAGCTAGAAGAAATATTCAAAATATCCAAATAATTTCAACTCAAACAAAAACTATATATATATATATATATATATATATATATATATATATATATATATAGGGTTTACACTATCATAAATACAATTATTTATAAAAATCACTGCGTTTTCGGCATTATTCAACTTGTAGTTGAGTTTCTCAATTTTTCTAACGAGGCTTTTATCATCTTGATGAAGTTTATTAAGGTTAAATAAAAACTTTTAATATTTGACATTTTTGACAAAACATTATTAACAACGTTATTACTCCAGAAAAGCTCTTTTCGGCATCAACTGCCATCATCAGTGTAGTTATATAGTATATATATATATTTTGGGTTTAGATTATCATAAATACAATTAATTATAAAGATCACAGCGTTTTCGGCATTATTCAACTTGTAGTTGAGTTTCTCAATTTTTCTAACAAGGCTTTTATCATCTTGATGAAGTTTATTAAGGTTAAATAAAAAACTTTTAATATTTGACATTTTTGACAAAAAATTATTAATAACGTTATTACTACAGAAAAGCTTTTTTCGGCATCAACTGCCATCATCAGTGTAGTTATATAGTATATATATATATATATATTTTGGGTTTAGACTATCATAAAAACAATTATTTATAAAGATCACTGTGTTTTCGGCATTATTCAACTTGTAGTTGAGTTTCTCAATTTTTCTAACGAGGCTTTTATCATCTTTATAAAGATCACTGCGTTTTCGGCATTATTCAACTTGTAGTTGAGTTTCTCAATTTTTCTGACAAGACTTTTATCACAAATTATTTATTAAGGTTAAATAAAAAACGATGATAGATGATAAAAATCTAGTTAGAAAAATTGAGAAACTCAACTACAAGTTGAATAATGTAGAAAAGCAGTGATCTATATATATATATATATATATATATACTTATATACACATATATATATATATATAGTATTTTTTCCAATTATAAATAATTTCACTGTTGTTTTAATTTTTCTAATATATGTATTATAAATAAATGAATATATATATATGTATATATATATATATATATATATATATATATATATATATATATATATATATTAGCTTCCTGTTTAATTTTTTTGATTTTTCTAACGATAGGTCGTAAACCATTGTCAAGTTTCATGAGTTTAAAACCAAAATTTTAATTAATTTTAAGCACAATTTATTTATTTGAACAAAGCACGGGCTATTGCCCATTACCGAATTTACAGGGAAAATAATACATAGTATTATACATGCATACCACGATACATTCGTACAATTGCTTCACAAGTATAACCACGAAGATAATGCATTATACCATGGCAGATTGAAAATAATTTCCAAAAACAATAAATTAACACTAACAGTGTCTTGAGTGTCACCATAAATGCAAACTTATAAACCAAGATATAATAAAATACTTTATCCATCTAACCCCATTAATCCCATCCTACACCTGAATAGCATAATATTAACTACACATTTCCCATGCAATAGAAAAAATAAACAAACATTCATGCATCCATTTAATTTCCTTAACCTCCCCTACCCATATACCAACTCATATACCCACCTACTCATGAATCATTAATTATTATATCAGATAATTATATTAGAACCTAGAAATTTCATTAACTATTTACCAATCAATAAAAAAAACCAAACAATCATATGAAAAACAATAATAATAATAAGAAAGTTATGAAGTCAATATAAAATATAATTAACCAAAAAATTTAAAAATGAAATACCCACATGCATTCAACCATAAATGTGTAATGAAATAATCAATCCAAGTCAATCATACATATTCCCAGTCATTACTGATAAAAAATAAAACAAATACATATTTTTACCTATATTTATGCTCATATTTTTACCATATGATAATTATTACATTGACCTCATAATAATGAGTATTATAAATGTTGCATAAGTAATTCTCTCATTAATCCACTCCCATCCATCCATAAAAAATTCTTATTCAATCATACGAATAGATTAAAAATCTCAAACCATTCCTACTTTATCAACACACACATCCAATTGAACCGTCAGTTTAAAAGTATCACCTATATTGAAATTTAGCATCACCCCAAAACAAATCCAAACGAGATTTAAAAACACTTGTATTTGGAGAGTCAACAACAGATTTTACATATTGATCACATTTAGTTGCATGGACTTCAAGTCATCTGGACATTTGATAATTTTAAACATCTTTGCATCATCCGCAAAAAGATATATATTCTCACATGCTGAAGGGAGATTATTAATATAAATTGTAAACAGTAGAGGTCCCAGGATACTGATACTACCTTGGGGAACTCCACTAGTAGCATCTAACTTTGAAGACAATGCATCACCCACTCGCACCCTGAAGTTTCTCTTCTTAAGATATTCACTTATCCAAACAAGAATTTTGTTATCGAATCCATATTTCTTTAGTTTCAGTAACAAACAATTGTGAGATATCCTATCAAAAGCCTTCTCGAGATCAGTATATATGACGTGTACCTCCTCATCACAATCAACACCCATTGTAACTTTATCCAAAAATGTCAGCAACTGAAGAGTCGTCGATCGTCCGGGCAAAAACCCATATTGATTTCGGTGAAATAAATTATTCGTCAGAAAATAATTCAAAACATGGTCCTTAATAATTGATTCCATCATTTTACAACACACAGAAGTAAGAGAAATAGGC